GTGCAACTGGAAGGTCGATTGCTCACTGTGATGTGCGCTGACCACCAGGGGCAGCATGGAAGGAAGGCCCCGATCAGCCCCTATCAGCCCTGATCACAGGCCAGGCCTAGGGACCCTACCTGTGCATGAATTTCATGCACCAGGCCTCTAGTCACATAATAATATAAGATGGATGATAATTACGTCAGTCACCTGGGCTCACTCTTCCAAAACTAAAGGACATAAACATTCAACACATATATATGCCAGACCCACAGAAACTAGAAATACAATAGAAAACAAGACAGACAAGATGCTTGTCCAGTGCAGCAAACAGAAAACAAAACAATTGTAAGCAAATAAATTAAAATTACAAATAGGGTCTGTTGGTAAGACAAACAGACAACGACCACAAATGAGACACAGACCAGTCCATCCCAACTCTCTGTTGGGATAAGTTCTAGAAAGGAAATAAGTAGGGTTTTCTGTTAATGGGGGACAAACAACTTCAAGAAGGCTTTTCTGAAGAGATGACACTAAGGTTGAGACCTGAAGGATGAGAATGAGCCAGTCATTCAAAGAACATTCCAGGCAAAAGCTTTGAGAATAAAAATTACTCTGCATGTCAGATAAGAAGCCAAAGTGCAGTGTAGCTTCAGCAGAGTAGGTCATGGTCAGAGCTACACAAGTAGAAACAGAGGCATGCAAAAACCAAATTATTCAGGTCCTGGGCCACAGTAAGAATTAAGGGCTTGCCCTAGCTGGTTTGGCTCAGTGAACAGAGCGTTGGCCTGTGGACTGAAGGGTCCTGGATTCGATTCCGGTCAAGGGTACATGCCTGGGTTGCGGGCTCAATCCCCAGTGGGGGGTGTGCAGGAGGCAGCCGATCGATGATTCTCTCTCATCACTGATGTTTCTATCTCTCTCTCCCTCTTCCTTCTTCTCTGAAATCAATAAAAATATAAATAATAAAAAAGAATTAAGGGCTTTACTCTTATTTCTTCTTTTAGTAGGGAACTACATGTTCTACAAAGGTCATTTTGCCTGCAATGTAGCAAGAACAGAGAGATAAAGGAGGGCGGCAGCACTTACTGTGGTCCAAGCAAATGACAGGACTTCGATCAGGATGGCGGCAAAGAAGCAGACAAAGTCAAGACATATTTTGGAGGTAAACCCAATAGATTTACTGGTTGGTGGCCTGGGTGTATGCTCAACCTAAAGACAACAGAGCAACATATATACCATTATTATAATTGATTGAATGAGTTCTAATTTGTGTAGCTTTTACCATTTAGAAAGCATGTGAACACATACCCTCATTTAATACTTACAACAATTCTGTACAGTGAGTACTACTTCCCCTACTTTTCAGATGCATAAACTGAAGATGTAAGAGGTGAGATGGCTGGCCAAGATCAGCATCCCAAAATGAGAAACATGGGAAGCCAAAAAGATAAAGGTAAATGTAGGCTCAAGTACTCACGAGAAAAAAAGAGGCTTGCACTACAAGAGTACTGGAGAATGAGTACTGTTTAATTCCACTGTGGGGCAAAGGGGGTGACTTAGGCTGGGGAAATAGACCTAGAACTCCCAAGCAGGTAAGGGGCTCGGCTTTTAGAGGGAGGGAAGGTCACTATAAATGGAGCAAAGAATGAGCCACTGGTAGGAGGCAAATCCGAAGCTTCTGCTTAATATCCCATCAGGTGTTTATGTATTTACCTGCTCTTCTTAAATCTACTTTACATTTTCAGTCTATTCATTTTCTCTCCTGCATCAATTGAGCTTGCTCTTCATGACTTCCTAGCTATTGCATTTATCCCACGATAGCGCAAATGTTTACCAATGTGTCCCTACCAGATTCCCTACCAGAAGGCAAGAAAAATCCTCACTCATCTTTTATTCCTGACACCTGACAAACAGAACGTGCCCCGTAACTATTCGCCATCCTACGTGCTGCTCTACAATAACTACTTTCCCGTTTCAGAGAGTTCCGCTTTGGTGCCAGGTCTCCGGTTCGTGGACCACGACCACGCGTTAGGCCCACCCCGGCCGAGCGGGATCAGCATCCCTCCTACCTGAGCCAACCGCGGGCGTCACTCCACCCCCG